CAGGCTGACTGGAGATTCGAAGCTGCTAGGGGAGGCACTACTAAAAGCAACAGCTAGCAGGAGGCAGGCTGGTGACTAAAAGTGCAGGATCATACCATGCACTGTGGAGGATGGTGCACTGGCCCGGCTTCTGTGGGACCTTTGAGCATTCTCCAGAAGAGGGCTGCTGAATACTTGCTATGTACTGTCCCACCATTCCTGAGGCAGACACAGAGAGAAGGGGCACACTCTCTTAGCGGCGTGAGAAAGGGGAACAGACGAAGGTGACTGGGTCTACGTCCACACCACCCTGAGTGCACCTGTCCTGTCTGATAAGGGTGAAGGGTTGCTACACCCCAGACCAGGCTCCAGACAGTAGGGACACTCCCCTCCTCTTTTAGTTTCTCAGTGTCTTGTATATAATAGACACTAGAAACACAATCCTGAGAAAACAAGTAAACATTCAGTCCTGTTCTAGAGACAGTTTTGCCAAGTTATATTGGAAACTACTGTGAAAATTCACCTTAAAAAATGTTGAAAACACCATTTTCATGTGGCCTTTGCATTTCTGCACTGGGAAGCCCAGGGGCAGTAGTGCATACAACTTGGCTCATAAACAAAGAAATGAGAAGATCTATTTAAGCCAATGCACTTTGTCTGAACTAACACCCTCTCCCATGTCTCCTCCCTGTCCTTTGCACAAGGAATGCCCCTCTCTTGAGAGAAAGTCGCTTTTTCATTGAGAGACAATTTTTCAAAGCTGATAGCAGAGTCTCTGGAAATTACTTGTAATACTAGAGAACAGAGTGGCCAGAAGAGCCCCCAACGGCTGCAAAGGCTCAAACTGATAAGCCTGCATTATTGTTTGAGCCAGAGCTTACAAGCAGGCCAGCACTCGGGCGTCAAGAACCCCCTCCCCTCCTATAGACAAACTCTAAGGCACCCTCAGCGCTCTCCAGCCTGGAAGCTAGGAAGGAGATAAGCCTTTCTTTTCACTTCTGTCCTTGCTTTTTCTGTTTCATACAACAGACATGCTGGGTTCTGTCCTGGTTAGTCTCGTCAGTGTGACACAACCTGTGGTCACTTGGGAAGAAGGAACGTCCACTGCTCTGATCAGATGGGCCTCGGCCATATCAACGTGTCTTGACTGACGTTGATGTTGGGGGCCTAGCCCTCTGTGGGCGGTGCCATCCCTAGACAGTTAGGTGTGGGCTGTGTAAGAAAGCTAGCTGAGCATGACCCAATAAATGAGTCAGAGAATAAGCCAATAGGCAGTATTACTACTCTGTGGCTTTTGCTTGAATTCTGGCCCTGACTTCCCCCAATGATGGAAGTATGTGCCAAAGGCCCTTTCCTCCACAAGTCTCTTTTGGTCCTTGTTTAATCACGGCAACAGAAAAGTGAGTAGAACAGGTTCAAGCCCTGGATTTTCTATGAATTCCAGTCAATCCCTATTCCTCCAGGAAAGACTGCCCATTACCAGGTAGCCAACAGTCTGCTGTTTTCTCCACATCCTCATGGACTATCTATACCTACTAAACCTTTGGCTCTTCAATTCTAGATGAATGGCTACCAAAAAAGGATTAAAGATGCTACTGAGAAAATGATGGCTCTTGTTGCTGAGTTGTCCATGAAACAAGCCCTGACCATTGAACTCCAAAAGGAGGTGAGAGAGAAAGAAGAATTCATCTTCTCCTGCAGTTCCAGAATAGAAAAGGGCCTGCCACTCAACAGAGAGATCGAGAAGGACTGGCTGAAGGTGCTCCGAGATGAAGAAATGTATGCCTTTGCCACTGCTGAGAAATCTCGGGTAAGTGTTGGCCCCATACTACACAGTGCACCAGGAGAGGTTGACTTCGTAGTCTGTCCTCTCGTGATACAGTGGATGACCCCTTATCTCAAAGGCTTGGTAATAAAGATGCTTTGAACTTTCTGTGATTTTCATGAGATACTTAGGGCCCACATCTAGATCCCAGATTCACTCGTTTCATTTAAACCTCATATACATGGGCTGATTTTTATACAATATTTTAGTATATTTATATTTTGACTGCAGTCATAATATGACATCAGGTATGGAATAATCTACTTGTGACATCATATCAATCCTCAAAAAGTTTGAAACGTTTTTGGATCTCAGGGTTTTATATTAGGCAAGCTCAACCTGTATATGAAATTTTCGCACTTTAACACACATAGTCTGAATGATTAGTAGAAAAGAGTTTGGTGTGTGGAAAAGACGTCGTACTAGTAGTCCAAAGCACTGCCTTCTCTCTGAAGAACCCCGACAAGCATCAAGTCCCATCCCAGCCATACCCTGGACTGTCATGACTGAACACTGTGGCCTCCCTCAGCATGACTATGACCATTCTTTACCTATAACATGGCTTTGTCTGTCCTCAAACACTTGCTCACACCACACCAGACCATGTCCATCACACCACACCTATGTCCATATATCCTGGCCTCCACAGCCATATTATGGTTACTACAGCCTTCTACAGAACCACACCTGGTATGTATCATAGACCTCCATGCTACCCCTTTCTCCTCCCCAGCGACCAAGGTCTTGGTCAGTCATGGAAGCCACCAGCAAGTTTGGTTTCCTGTTCATCCATCTAATTCCATGATCTCTCAATAGTTTTAAGGTTAGAACAAGGCATCTCTCCCATAGACAACCACATCATGGAGATACAGTTTGCTTAGACTGTCATGTGAATGGTTCTGCAAAGATCATGTTTCACTTTCTAATCCAAGACTTTAAAAGGTACATACACATAGTAGGAACACCTGAGCATGGAGTCTGACTTGTAACTTCTGGACTCCCTGGGACGTCTCTCCTAGGGCACTCCGGGCTCCCCTGTCATGTCCCTCTGCCTTTCTCTACCACACAGTTCCCTTTAGTGCTGTAGGCAGTTGTTTTCCATAAACACTGGCAGAACTTTGAGGACCCTGAGGGCAAACACACTGCTTGCCAGTCCTTCTGACGCCAGTTCTCATCATTTCTGTATTGATATTTGCTCCCCAGTGACAGAGGAAAAGTATTACTTCTTTTGTCAAAACTGTGGAAATAATAAAGAGCTCAGTGACAGACAGTTAGAGGCAGTGCACGTGGAACCCACCGAGCAGATTCTGACCCACACTGAGCCCCAGCATCAGCATGATGCCTGAGTGATGCCCACACCCTTTCAGATGACAGGCGACAGAGGTGGGCGTGGGTTTCTCACTCCTGTACTCATTCCCTCTGCAGGGTGTCGCGGAGTCTTAGATTAAGACGTCTCACATTCTTTTACACTGTGGAGCATTTACTCAATGATGCAGAGATGTGCTGCACTCTTTGTGTTGCGTTTGTCTAACTCTGTGAAGCTGTTTCTTTGCCTGTCTAAACCACCGGATCGGTCAATAAAGAGCTGAAGAGCCAGTAGCTAGGCAGGAGAGAGAAACAGGCAGGGCTGCCAGGCAGAGGAAATAAATAGGAGAAGAAGAAAGAGGAGGAGAGAGAAAAGGAGAAGGAGTGGAGTATGCCAGGGACCAACCACACAGCCACACAGCCAGCCATAGAGTAAGAAGGAAAACAAGATATTTAGAATAAAGAGAGGTAAAAAGCCCAGAGGCAAAAGGTCGACGGGATAATCTAAGTTAAGAAAAGCTGGCTAGAAATAAGGCAAGCTATTGTTAAGTAATAATAAGCCTCCGTGTATTTATTTAGGAGCTGGGTGGCGGGCCCCCAAGGAGTAAAAATAAAAACCGACTGCAGGTGAGTATCAGCCAGCAGAGCCTAAAACTGCTCTTTTAGGACCCAAGGTGAAGTAAGTTCAGTGCTCTCAGAAAACTGAAATGAAAACATCTCCCTTTGCAGGAGTACATGGAAACCGATTATCGGCAGCTGCCCAATGGTGTCTACACAACTGCAGAGCAGCGTCCCAATGCCTACATGCCTGAAGCGGAAACCACACTTCCTCTGCCCAAACCGTACGGTGCGCTGGCTCCATTTAAGCCCTCTGAAACTGGAGCCAACAGGAGGCACATAAGGAAACCTGCCGTAAAGCCCATTGAAATCTAAACATGTGACCCAATCCAGGCTTCTCAAGAGAAGACTCCAGCCAGGCTTCATACCTACAGTCGAGAATGAGCATCATGGTACTGATTCTGCTATCAGCTAGGTACAATCAGCAACAGAGTGGGCCGCGATCTCCGCGAACGTTCACTGCTTCCTGCTCTCTGACGTTAAATGGCGCGGACTACAGTTATTTCAAAGTGTATTTTCGTGGCTCATGTGTTCCTTTTTCACTGTTTATGTTGACTATGCTTCAGGAATGTACAGTACACAAGATGCTGTAAAAGTACAAAATAAATGACTTCTCAGAGAAGTACAGAAATTAGAGTGAAAGCAGGTCCTCATTATGTGTCCACGATGTGACTTCCGGAGAGGGGAACTGGCCCACGTGACACATGGCACAGTCCTCTTTGCAGCAGGGCTTGAAGGCCATATAAAGGGCAATGGTGAAGCTTGCCCCCAAGGAACGCTACTGCAATTCAACTTTGTAGGGGTTCTCTTGCTACAAAAATATTTAGGCCTAATTTATTTCTTAAAAATACTTTTTTTTCACATTATCTGCAAACAAATTCATGATCATTTTAAGTTCTGATATTTGATTTTTCAAAATCTCCCCCAAAATTCTATACTGATAGCTTCTATAAGAATAGTTCTATGCCGGGCGTGGTGGCGCACGCCTTTAATCCCCGCACTTGGGAGGCAGAGGCAGGCGGATCTCTGTGAGTTCGAGGCCAGCCTGGGCTACCAAGTAAGCTCCAGGAAAGGCGCAAAGCTACACAGAGAAACCCTGTCTCGAAAAAACCAAAAAAAAAAAAAAAAAAAGAATAGTTCTACTTATTTGCTCAGATTTTCATTTCACCCATGTAGTTTTCTGACTCCAGTAGTTTTATTAGACATGATGATTCACTAGTATGTGAGACCTGTGCTTTTATATTCACTAATATGCTTAAGCTATTTGTTTTGTGCTGGTTGCAGTTATGAATTTCATTCATGTCCAGTTCTGGGAGACTGAGAAATACCATACTTCTCTTTTGCTAAATCCAACATCCTGTTCCAAGCCATATTCTGCCATATTGGATGGGAATTTAAATTTACTCTCATTTTGTGAGTCCTGAATTTGGCCTCATTATCTTACAAGACCATGGCGAAGCAAACAGCTTGTGAGCACTTTCATTTGTACAAGCCAGTTAGCTAGTAAAAGAAATACTACACACTTAGACAGTTCCTGTGTCACAGGAATTAGTAACCTCTTTAGGGATTCAGAAACATGCACAGAGCAAGTTTAAATGCCACAAGAGTGGAAAGGGATGGATTCTTAAACACTGCAATTGTGCTGCTGGTTGAGAAAAGGTAGATGCCACCATGTACTGAAATGTCTTGGATACAGTCAGGTGTGTGTGTGTGTGTGTGTGTGTGTGTGTGTGTGTGTGTGCATGTGTGTGTTTATCTAGCCCTGGAGCATGATGTCATTTATTTGTGAGGTAGAGAGGGATTACAAGTGGAGGAAATAACCTGATCCAACCATAGAAATAAAAAAGCCAAACTCATGTTCCAAGGCCTAATGAATTGGCCTGGCTGCAAAAGAATGTTCATGTTTTACAGGGTCAAAATTTCAGAGGTAAATGCCAAGGAGTTTGTATGTTACCCTTCAATGAATAGCAAGTTATTGAATAATTAATTATAAGCCCAGTGTCAAAGTCAAACTGATGTTTATCTTAAATATGTGTCCAATGAATTCAACTAGGAAACCACATGAACTATGCAGGTGTGAGCAGAAATGATGAAAGCAACAAATGGAAGAGAATCCATATACTCTAAAGACCTAGGGAAATGAACTGAGAATGGCAAAGAGCAGATGAACTGTTGAAAGCACAATTAAATGTTTTGTAAGAATTTAACATGCAAAGAGGATTTTTTATTTAATTTGAACTAAATAAAATCTGCTGTCTCCTGTACAGAGGAATTTGTAGCACAAGGAATGCAAATATACAGTATTTCCAGATTGCTGATCTGGTGCCAAGATTCTGAGCCTTCCTGACCATGTGAAGACAAAGGGGAACTTCTATAGGCTAGGACAGCTTTGAGAGCACAACGAAGGCTGCAGAAAATAAGGTGAATTAGCATTTGTGTTACAACATTTAGAATCATTCAAATTTCACCATGAGAAAGGGAAACAGCAGTAGGAGAAAAGCAGAACCAAACCGGGAAGCTGAGCCCTATGGGTCATGTAGGAGACAGATGAGAAAGGCTAGAACGCCTAGTCAGTGTCATGGGCTCCTGCAGGAACATGCTGATGGGCTCAAAATGCCCTGTGCAAATAAAAGGGCTATGCTCAAAAATTAGGGAAGAGTCAGACCAAAGCTTTCAGCATTTGAGGTCATGTTTTTGTTTGTTTGGTTGGTTGGTTTTGGTTTTTTGAGACAAGGTTTTTCTATGTAGCTTTTGGATCCTGCCCTGAAACTCACTTTGTAGATCAGGTTGGCCTCTAACTCACAGAGATTCACCTGCCTCTGCCTCCTGAGTTCTGGGATTAAAGGCATGAGCCGCCACCACCCGGCTTGAGGTCATGTTTACTGAAAAGATATTACTAACTCAAACTTCCATAAATATTAAAATTAAATACAGATCCATCTGAACCACCATAAAGGCAGAGGCTGCTTTAAGTCCTGTGTGTACAAATCATAATTTGTCACAATTACTCAATACTGCAGATGGCAAATCTTGTTTAGTCCAAATCCAGGTTCTTCTCAAATCCTCTTTACAGCATTTACATTTTCTGCTCATTTTATGTTTTTTTCCAGTGATCTGTCTAGCTCTTCCTGTCCTAAGCATTGTTCCCTATGGTTTTTATTTGATTCTGGAGTGCCACAGAACTAGTTCCCAGCCTACTGAGCTACCAGGAAGAGAACTGTTCCTGTCACAGTACATAGAAACTGTCATTACTCTTGACTGTTCACTGGCTGCTCACACTGGAAAGGCATGTAGCAGCTGGCTCTGTTTGAACAAGTGAAGGCCAAACACTCTGAAGCATATTCCAGCTTGTTATTAATTTTAAAGACTGTTGAAGAATTCCCAGGAAAAGGAGGTGAAAACAGTATTAAAACACTGAAAGCAGTTCATCTGCATACTGGCTTTCATAAGCCCAAAAGCACCGTGGTGTGTTTCAGAGCCGCTTCCTCTACAAATTCTGCATCCACATTGTCATGGCCTTCAAAATCACACAGAGCTGGGGAAGGAAGAGAGAGTGTGTGTTACTATGGAGCCATGGCTATTTACAACTTTGTTCCCACTGGGAACATAGTTTTATATGTTAGTGAAATGTGTTATTCTGAGAATATGTTGTTAGTTTCATTAAACGTTGGCACTAAAGAGCATTTTCCACCATCCAGAACAGACCTTAAACATCTCAAGCCCCTTTCAGTCTTCAAAGTTAAGTACTCCTTGGGTAATTTAGGAGGTACAGTATTCTCTCTAATGAAAATCAGTGTTAGTAAGGACATAACTTGTAAGGGGGCGTTTAGGGAAAGAAACAATACAAGCTGTCACTGGAGAATGACTGACGTGTCAAGGGAAGTCCTAGGAGCAGAGGAACAGCTACCTTGGTGGGAAGACTCCAGGCTGGTCAGAGTTTCAATGAAGTAGTTCAGAGGCAGAAATTCTACTGGGAATGATGACTTGCCAATCATAGAGTGTCGAGGCTGAAAGAGAAAACACCCCTATACAGTAATTGCTTCTCCAAGACATACCCAACTTTAAATAAAATGATCAAAAACAGAACTGTGTTTATCGGGGTATGTAGAAACGTCAGGTGGATCCGCAGAACACTCACTGTCTGGGTCTCACATAGACTTACCTTTCTCCTGTAGTTCTTCAGCAGCTGCGCCACATGGTTCCGTGAAATGCTGTTGGAACTCATGGGATGGTCCCAGAGCCGGCAGACCTTCCGGCCAATAAGCTGCAGTGCAGTTGGAAATCACAGAGGAGAGTATAGGTCACAGTGCACGGAACAGACCACATACCTACTTTTAACTTCAAACTGTTATTCCCAAAGGGCTAGCTACTCTCAAATGTAGAACCTCTGTGAATCGTGACTGTTGGAGAGAGGCCAAGCTCCTGAGACATGCTTCTGAAGTTTTCATAAATACTCCTTCAACTTTCCTCAACTTGAGGAGCAATTTTACATCAATGATGCCAAATTCCTTTTTTTCTGGGGTGATGTTGAACTTGAGATCCTTCAAAGTTGGAGATGAGCATGGCAGCCCTGACGGGAAACTAAAGGTGCTATGGACTTATGTCGGTTTCTCTCCCATTATCTGCCCTAGAAACGTTAAACACCCTAATTAATATGGGTCAAAAAAAGGTCAGATTTGGAGACCAAACTAAACATCACTACTGTTCCTCAGGGAGACAGAGCCATGGAAAGGGGGTACTTTGTTCTCAGGAAGCCTGTGACAGGAGTGACAGCCACAAGGCAAGACCGTCAGGTCCAGAAAGTCAAGGGGCAGAGGATGGCTGGGGCCAAAGGTCCCAGTGCTCTTGGTGTAAACAGCACACTGGCCAGGTTCTTTGGGTCAGGAAGTTCGCAAAGTCAGAGGGCTGAAAGACCTTGCTGTGGAATTTCTTCACATTTCTGACTCTGAGAGCTAATAGCCCCACAAAAGAGCAAGGAGTGCCTTCCCGACAGTTTCCTCACATGCTCTTCATTCTTTTGACCTGGTCATGTCTGCCTGTGCTCAGAATGTAACAGGATGGGAAATGCAGTTCTGGAGCACCCTTGACCTCACCTGGATTTGAATGTCTTATCAGTTTAATGTCAAAAGCACTTTTCCCCTCCCTCCCACCCAGACTCTGAGGTAAATATCAGTGTGGCGACCCAAGAGAAGAGACGGGTAAACTGTCTGTATACACTGTGCCCACAGCACGACGCCCCAGAACCACATGCTTCATAAATAGATGGATGAGATTTCATGGAAAGGGCTAAAAAGTGAAATAATTTAATGATTTCAGCCTACAAGAAAACTATCTTCTTACAAAAGGCAAATGGAAGGAGGGGGTGGATGAGGCTGGAGAGAAAATTTCAGGATTACCGGAGGAAGCCGCACAATGATGCTGAATTTTAGCTTTTCATTTTTTTCTGAATTGTCCAGATCTACAAGAAAGTTAGAGATTAACAGATAAGATAGAGATACCAATTTTAATACCTCAGAAAGTTTTAAATCCCTAGTGTTTCCTCCTGAGAACCTGCATTCACAGCTAGTGATGTTTTGAAAGCTTTAGTTGTGACTCGGACTGAAGGGGGCTTTTATTTTGCAATAGGCTGCCAGTCACTGAGGATTTCATCCACTAACTTGAAGCATAAGGTACTCTGAAGAATGCAGACGCTAATACATGCATGAATGACTTACATGAGAAAGATTGCAAGCAGACCATAATGGTCAGGTTCACACAAGCACTGTATCTCTCATTAGTTTTTCTCGCATTTCAAGTCTAATTTTGAGAATGACAAAATTAATTAGCTGAAAGTAAGGTGTTCATAATACTTTCTTAAAAAACAAATTCGTAGTCTCCCAGGCTCTTTTTACTCTCAGATAGAGAAAACAAACCTAACAACAGTGCATGGACTCAAGTTCTTCAGGACCTCTAGAAGAGCTGACACACTTTCAGCTGGCCTGAGGGGATGGTTTCAGGAAGGGGGCTGTGCTAAGAATTTGTAGGGCCCAGTAAAAGGAGAAAATAAAGTGATACATGTTCAAATAAAAAGAACTTGCAGGCAGTGATGGTGTATGGCTTTAATCCCAGCACTTGGGAGGCAGAAGCAGGTAGATCTCAGTGAGTTCGAGGCCAGCCTGGGCTACAGAGTGAGTTCCAGGACAGTCAAGGCCACACAGGGAAACCTTGTTTCAGAAAAAAGGACATCAGTATATACTGCAGACCATCGAGCGGTGAATGGGACATTTCTGAGTGTCATACCCAGAAGGCAATCCTGAGGGTGTCCTGCCTGAAATCCACCCTCTGGTAAACCCCATTGCTGCTTACCTTTCACAAGTCTTCTGACTGCTGTTTCAGTGAGCAACAGGACCCCATTGTCAATGAGGTGCAGCAGGTTGTACAAAGGGAGACAGTGCACACCAAGAATCACGTGCAGAGAGTGGAAACCTAGGGTGAATGGGGCAAGCGCAGACGTGAGCGGCCAGCACTTCCGGCTCCAGAGGAAATGACTCAGGCATGTGAATGAGGCCTGAGCTCTGGATCAGCTGACCTCTTAAGACAAAGTCCAAGTCCCCTTCCTGTGTAACCACAACTGAGTACCACAGTGGTTATAGAATAAGTTCCTGGTCAGTATTATTTTACCATCTTTCATAACAGATGTTGAAACTCCATAGACCCAAGCTAAAAGGTTGTTAGGATGGGGACCATTTTGCTGAAGGATGAAAAAAACAAAACAAAACCTAGGACCTGATGGCAACAGTTTGTATGCCCACTCTCTGGTCATCTCATAGAGAAAGACTTTTGGAGTCTACTTGGACTAAATTATAGAAAAGAAGAAATGTGGATGGTATAACCAGATCAGACTCTGTAAGAACTCAGTAGAAATGAAGCCTTGCTCTCTCTCTCAAGCCCAAGTCTCCTGAGTAGGGCTAAACCCCAGAGCTCTGGTCACCTACCAGTGACAATGAACAAAAGCAAGATACACAGAAGAAGATTCCAGACCCAGTGAGAATAAGAACACCCCTCTTTGGAATGTCAGCATCTTGGAGATCTTTGAAGAGATCTCTATTTAGTGTGTTGAAAATGCCAGAGGCAGCAGAACAGACCTATGCTATACTGGTATTTAAGTAACCAACTCTAAGTAACTGGCCTTTCTGAATTTCCTTTCGTCATCCCTAAAATGGAGCCACTGACCTTTCCTTCTGGGCTATTAAAAGGAATAGGGCAGGTGTATAGAGGCCAGCACATGGTACAGCATGGTTAACACTGGATACACGCTAAGTGAGCATTGGCCCACCTGTTCCACACCCAACACTATCAGATGCAATCAATAGATGGGAAAACTGAGATTCACAGGAGCTGGGAAACTTCCCTGTATCCTATAAATAGTAAGAAAGAGGTTGAAATCGCCTGAAATGGACTGTGGGATTGTAGTTCTTAACCAGAGGATCATGCTACCTCAGTAACTAATAGCTGAGTTAATAGAATGATATGAACAGACCTCAGGTGAGAGAGTATGGGTGCATTCAGAAACATGAGGTGATCATTTGCGTTGAAATCTGATGATAGAAAGCAATGATTAATGGTAGATTTGGACAAAGTGAATTGATTCAGCACCCTCTCATATACTAAGCAGGGGTGAGTAGTAGTGACATCACCGCTCTTGTTCACTTTGCAGTATGGTAGAAGTAGCAACTAATTCATCATAAGAATAAGGACATATTTACATGTGACCAGTTCCATGCCATGTGTACATACATCGTGGACCCAATGCTGAATGCTATCAAGGAATTTATCAATCCAGGAAACTTTGAGGAAACACTGAAAGCTTTTGAGTATGATAAAAGAAGAACTGAATTTTGCTTTTGGAATGTTACTACACCAACAGACAAAGAATGGATTAGACCCGTGAGAACACTGTGGCCTGGACAGGTACGAGAGGGACTGGGACACCAGGGGGAATGAAGAGGAAGCCAAGTGTCCTAGTTAGGGTTTCCAATGCTGTGATGAAACACCATAACCAAAGCAACTTGGGGAGGAAAGGGTTTATTTCCCCTTTCACTTCCACATCACAGTTCATCATCAAAGGTCACAGGGACAGGAACTCAAACAGGGTAGGAACCTGGAGGCAGGAGCTGATGCAGAGACCATGGAGGAGTGCTCCTTACTGATTTGTTCCTCATTTCTTGTTCAACCTGCTTTCTTATAGAACCCAGGACTCCAGCCTAGGGATGGCGCCACCCACCATGGGTTGGACCTTCCTCCATCAACTGCTAACTAAGAAAATGCCCTATAGACTTGCCTACACCCCAATCTTATGGAGGCAATTTTTCAACTGAGGTTCCCTCCTCTCAGATGACTCTAGCTTATGTCAAATTGACATAAAACTAGCCAGTACAGCAAGAGTTCCGTGGCAATATGTACATGCTTATCAACTGACTGGATGCAGGGCTGACAGAGAACCATTGCCTGCTCTCAGGGATATGGCAGGACAAATGACGCTCAGTGAGTGGGGTTTGCATTCTGAGAAATCACGGCATTTTTTTCTCTGAGCATATGAGTCATGAGCAGCAGAACAGTCCTAATTCCTGGCAACATCAAGGGTCAGATGATGTGCAGATGTTGTCCTCAAGTAGATGTGAATGGGCTAAAATAGACTGAGTTCACTAGGTCCCCAGTTCAAAACAAATTATAGTATTACTAACCAACACTAATGTTTTCATGTGGACTTGGAAATTCTTTCCCATACTAATAAAGTCAAAAATTATTCCTGAAAAAGCATTTAAACTAGATCATAAAATCCTATTCCAGGATTCAAAATTCCTTCTCCAATCCTGTGTACATGCTGAACGTCCCAGTGACCCTTCATCTGCTCCATTGGTATGGTCCCAAGTGCACTGGCCTAGTCACGGCCTCATCTCTGTATGTCATCTCTCAGCAGAGCACATAGACTATAACTAGCCATCAGTTCCATCCCATTAATCCTCATCCTCCAGGGCTGCTGTAGCCAGGGAGAGAAATATCAGAACAAACAAACAGAAACCCCCAAACAAAACTCTATTTGCCACTTCTTCACTCCTTTCTTTTATTTAAGTGTTTGACTCTTGAAACTCAAACAATGCTCACTAGTCCTATAAACCTGAAAAGCAAGCACCCTTATACACATGCATATATTAATCCCTTGTACACGCACACACACACACACACACACACACACACGCACACGCACACGCACACGCACATGCACACGCACGCACAAGCGCACACGCACACATACGCACACAGCGCACACACACACGCACACACACGTACACACACACACACACACACACACACACACACACACACACACGCACTCCAGTGCCACTTCACCCTCTCTTCACTTATCATATGAAAAATAATAGCATTTAATAGAAAAGGAGAAGCCATGTACGGCATGGTGAATCATATCTGTAATCCCAGCACTTGGAGTAATGCTAAGAGGATCAGGAGTTCATGGCCAGTGCTGGCTGCAGAAGTTTGAAGCCGTCCTGAACTACCTGAGCAGTGAAGTTGGGGGCATGGGGTTGAGGGCCTCAGGGGCAAAGGAAAGCAAAATGCTGTGGGATGATCCTTCTGTATGCTGTGAATATGTATTGCTCTCATTGGTTAATAATAAAGCTGTTTGGTCACTAGCCAGGCAGGATAAAGTTAGGAGGGACAACCAGACTGAGGACTGGAATGAAGAAGAGCAGAGTCGAGAGAGACACAAGCCACCTGCCCAAACAGCAAGATGCCAGAGAACCCAGTGAAGCCACGGACCACGTGGCAATACATAGATTAATAGAAACAGGTTCATTTAAATGTAAGAGCTAGTTAATAATAAGCCTTAGCTAACAGTCAAAAATTCTGTAATTAATATAAGCTTTTGTGAGTTTATTTGGGATCTGGTGGTAGGGACGGTTTACAAATGGTGCTCCAACATGGCTCACATACATCTACATAAAGCCTGAGGACGCTTTAAAAACAGGGGTTTTAGACACACAAAAACCGGAACCAAGAGCAGCTTCCTAGTTTATGTCTCTCATGTGGGCCCTGGTATAGAGACACATCCCCTGGCTGTGGTGTGCAGGCTTGAGCTGCAGCATGGAGGATTCCCACAGTCTCACATGGGCTGCGGTACAGAGGCGGCTCCCAGCAGCATGCTGCGAGGTGGATTTAAGGTTTTTGCTCAGACAAAAAGGGTTAAAGATACAGAGTAAGAACAGATTCAGACAAAAAGGCCTCTACATGGGTCACAGTGTGTTTAAAAAATATGCATAGGCTTGGGAAAAAAAGGGAAGAAGAGAAAAAAAAGGGAAAAAACAGTCATAGATTTTTAAAATGATTTAAAAATGATAGTAAAATCCTTACAGAATACATAAGCTATGAATATGCATCACTCTCATTCTGTTAGATATGCTAGGCCTGTAAGGCTAGAGTTGGATGCCCCAACATTACAGAGGAACTCTGGGGGACTGTCCATGCGGCTTGATGTCCCTGTCATTAGGTAACACTACATCCTTCTGTAGCCTGATGGAGTTGAAGACTAGATAGTTATAATTATAGTTTTCCTTGGTTATGATAAAAGATAAATTAGATACAAAACTTTAGACTCACAAAGATAAGATAGGTGATTGATTTAATTTTGCCAAATACAAATAGACTGGATATTGTAACTATAATTCCTGTTTGATAACTGTTTTTGCTGTATGTAATTTTACTATGTTAAAGTTAAAACCTTCCTTTTTGATTAGACAGAAAGGAGGAAGTGCTGTGAGATGATCCTTCTGTATGCTGTGAATATGTATTACTTTCATTGGTTAATAATAAAGCTGTTTGACCAATAGCAAGGCAGGATAAAGTTAGGTGGGACAATCAAACTGAGGACTGTGATGAAGAAGGGCGGAGCTGAGAGAGACACAAGCCCAAGAAGCAAGATGCCAGGGAACTGGTAAAGCTACAGCCACATGGATTAATAGAAATGGGTTATTTTAATGCAAGAGCTAGTTAATAATAAGCCTGAGCTAGTGACCAAGCATTCTATAATTAATATAAGCTTTTGTGTATTTATTTGGGACCAGTCAGTAGGGCAGAAAAACTCTGCCTCCATTTACAGGTAATAGAATAGCTACAAAATGAGGGAGAAAATATTTGTAAAACAGAAATCTGATAAGGGGCTAATATCCAAAACATAAAAATAAATAAATTGATAGCAAGACAACAACTGATTGTATTAAGCACGTAGAAGACCTAAACAGAGGTTTTTGTTTTTGTTTTTGTTTTTGTTTTCCTAAAGAAGCCATACAACTAGCCAAGAGTTACATGGAGAGATAGTCAATATCACTAATCAGTGAAATATAAATAAAACCACAGTGAATATCACCTCCTACTCTCAGCATCTAAAACAGGGGTGAATACTGGAAACAGTGTGGAGAAATGCAGACCCTTGTACACTGTTGGTGGGAATATATAATGCAGCCACTACGAAAGACTGCATGAATCTCTTCAAAGAAACTAAAAATGGAATCAGCATATGATCCCATAATCTTTCTGAGTACCCAAAAGAATTAAAGTCAAGATATTTAAATAGATTTGTACACTAATTTCATTAAACTATTCACACTAGCCAAGATACATAAAAGCTCACTAATAAACAGGTAAATAATATGTAAAATACACAAATGTGTAATGTTACTCAGCTTTAAAAAGGAAGAAATCTTGTCATCCATGACAAATGAATGGATCTGGAGGGTAGTATGAAGGTTGAAATAAGCCAGTCACAGGAGAGACAAATACTGCAAGAGTCTATTTAAGAATGGTCTAAAGTAGAGTCACAGAAACAACAGAAAGGTGGTGGCCCAGGCCAGAGACAGGAAGGGAAGCTGCTGTCCGTGGAATGTGAGAAGTTGTTTGTGAGATGGTAACGCTCTAGAGAGGCATTATGCCACACTGTGCCGACAGACGACACTGGGCTGCACATCTAAAATGTTAAAAGGGTTGCTCTCCCGTTTCTTTCCTATAGGAAAGAAAACGGTAAACACAGGGCAGATGTTTATGGCAAACAGGAGCTTATGCATTTCTTACATCAGTCTGATTTATGCAAACGTCATCCTATTCCACTCCCACTAGTGTTTGTAACTGCTTTCATTCCTCGAGTATTACCTGACATGAAATAGTTACTCCACACATTCACCGACTGGTCTAATGACCACTTATATGAATAATTGTACACACACATGCTAAGAGTATTTTGAAGCCTGATTAGGTCTTTTTTCAAAATCCTGAAAAAAACCTCCCAGCCCCTAAGCACTCAGGGGCCACCCTGACACTTGACACCCAGCCAGACACCCCTCCTTTGTGTTTACCTTCAGGCCTCTCCATACAGTAAAGCAGGCCTGAAGCAAAGGAGCACATTCCCTGCAACGGCACCATTGGTGCAAGTTCAGCTAGACGTGCACATGGGCACTGACTGGAACCGCTTCCGAGAGGCTGTAACAGTGGAGTTAGCAGTCGGGGAGCCCTCCACCAGGGCCTGCCGCTGAGGACACACGGGTGCTGCTATCTGGAGACCTTGTGAAAAACCACTCTATTACACCAAACAACCAAGGAGCCAAGACTCACCAGGAGGCAGAGGGCAACACAGGCTGTTAGCAGCATCCAAAATCCTGGTCATGAGATGAAAGACTTCAAAATCTGCAGCACTGCCATGGTCATTGCTGGGTAAAAACAAAGAAGTAGGATGTCAGCCACGCACCCTGTTAGTCCCGAGCAGTGGCTCTGAGTACCCTGCAGCGATCCCTATGAAATGCCCGAGAAATGAGAGACTGGCCTGTAACCTAAAGCACAGAATCTCACACCACACTCAGAGGGCTCACAATTACAAATTACATTAACTGAAATTTCCCTTCTTGGAAGTAGTGGGCTCGTGTGTCTCTCCCTCCTCATCAACCACATGCCATAGAGGACAGCTGAAGTACCCTTGAATTCTGAGTATAAAACTAAGACAGATGGTGGCGGGGCTGGAGAGCACCTCTTTGGACTAACATTTCAAAGGGGCTTTTCTAGAACAGGCAGTTACTACTAGCTCTTTGTACACCATGATAAAGGAGACTGAAAAATACTTGCGTACAGGTGGAAAACCCAAGGATGCACACTGTGTTTCCTCCAACTGGTTTCCAGCATGCACCAAATGAGATTCAGCTAGAAGGAGAGAGGCTTCGTGAACCACAGCTTGCATCCTTTCCTTCAAGGCCCTCCCAGCTGCCCCTCTGCAGCTCTGACTGCACATCCAAGACAGTTGGCATTCAGGCTGTGACCAGGCACACCATACAACTAGCCTTTCTGAAGGAGAGACTGGAAACATGCCCCACTGAACAGAGTCCCCTCTGTCTATGCTGGCAATGTCCCATTGCACAGCTAACTGGCTCCTCCATCCACACAGACCCTTACCCATCAGTGAAGGTCAGATGCCAATGGCTGAGTTGTCAGCCTGCCACACTGCCAGGGCTGAGAGCTGAGTGAAAGATGACAGAGTAGCATAGAGTGGGTATGTGAGCTGTGGGGAAAGACGACATCAGGGCCAGGTTCTGTGGAACTGTGTCTCCCTAGCACATCCTCTCCAAATCTCAGTGTCTTTTTCTGTGACATGAGAGGAAGTGCTTTCATAGGGTTGTTGTAAAAATTAGTCAAGTCACTCCCTGGAGCCAGTGCTCAACAAATCAGCACTATATCACCCAAACAAGATGCCTTCTTGGCTTAGGGCTTTTATCTAGAAACCTATTCTAATTTTACAAGTTTGTCAGCAGTAGGGCAGTCTCCACAAGGCTGTCCACCACGGACTAGTGAACCTGCATGCAGAGTAGGAGCAGGAAGCCAGGAAGAAAGGAACTCCATGCACAGCCTCAGTGGTACAGGATTCTCTGGCTGGAACCAAGCTACATGTAGACAATACCATCACGCTCTACAGCAACTTCCTTGAACGTGTTTCCAGAAAGACTGCCTAGCCACCCTCTTTAGACCAGCATAGTGGGCGTGGCTGGTTGCAACTGGGCAAGCTGGGTAAGAAGCACAGTGTTTCTGGGTCAGCACAGGCACCATTTTCAGGCCTTTTGGCTCTAGGAGTTGGCACAAACTAGCGTGAAAACTTACATGTGACTAAGTACAGTAAGGAAAAATGCTAGAATGGAAATTCTTAGCACTTTAGATGGTGAGAAACTTCAAGTCAACTGATACAACACTGGGAGCTTCTCGTGCTCTGAAAGCTGTTCCCAATGACTGCAGCCATCACCATGCCACAAATGAACAAATGGACGTATATAAAAAATGCCACAGACGTCATCAAGATTACATGAGAAAAAAAAAAAAAAGAAAAAAGTAGAGAGGCTCAAATGAGATCTACAGTTAAGCTCCACCATAAACAGCCCCAGCTAAGGAAATACAAATGACAAAGCCACCAGACATACAGAGAGGGAAACACAGGTCTTCAAAGGGCACCTGTGTCACGGAGAGGTGGGCTCCTGGGCCAGCTTTGTTGGTGATGGTTTCGAAAGGAAGCCTCCTCAGTATGACAGGTTCTTTAAGCCAATGCACTTAAGTTTCAAGAAGGTCCCTGTCTCAGCCTGAGCTGAGAGCCATGTATTGCCTGCCAATACCTGGTGTGGAAAAACACTCCCTCATTCCCACTCTGTCTAACTCTGTCCAATCACAAAGGTGTGGCTGTAGTGGTGCTCACAGCTGGCCTTGTGGCATAAGGAGGCAAGGCTGTTTGGTGGAGGAGCTACCTGGGTTACCAGCAATACTAAAAATGACAGGTACGTCAATGCCTTGCTGGCTTGAGATGGTTTCAAGCAAGTAACTCCTGATCATTACCGATGACCAGAGACTTTGGGGAACCTACCCTTCCTGTGAAGATTCAGAACACTAGCAAATAGCCTTGCATATTGGCACTCATCAACAGAACCGCTTTAAAACATAAGGCTGATCAAAAGAACGAAAGAGGACTTTTATTTGAAGAGAGAGACAAATGACTAAGAACATTTCTGTCGATGTGGAGAGGGTCAGTACCATATTCTTAATGTGTGCCTCACTGTCATTCTATCAAGAGAGACAGAGGAGGCTGGATGCCCTGATTACAAATAACATTATATGACAATACCCAGCCTTTCCTAGTATATTAAGATTATAAACTTCACTGGGGCTGGAGAGATAGTTCAGTAGTTAAGAGCACTGACTGCTCCTCCAGAGGACCCTGGTTCGGTTCCCAGCATCCACATGGCAACTCACAACTGTCTATAACTCTGGTAGGGGATCTGATACCCTCTTCTGGCCTTTGAGAGCACCAGGCATGCACATGGTGCACAGACATACATACATACAAAACACCCACATGCATAATAAATAAATAAGGTTTAAATTATGAAATCCAAATCTTTCAGTAGATTTTCAAATATGAAAAGTCACTAATGACTACAATAAAGGTAGAATACTTGAAAATTAATTGAGCAGATTTTCTTGATCTTAGCTAAGAAATTTAATCTTTCAAAGTCACTGCAAAAATATATATATATATGTACATACACACACATATACACTGGTTCATTTGCATACTAGTCTTACTCAAACTTGGAAAAATAATGGAACATTCTTTTTCTTTGTAGCTGAATACTTTGATTTGTCAAGTACATTATTTCTAGATTATACAGGGCCAGACTTCAGCTTCAGTGTTTTTTGAAAAAGCAAAAATGGCTGAAATCCAACCTCATCACATTACTTCTATTTACATATGAACAGGTGTCATTCATTTGAATAATGGCATCTCAATACATGGCTGACAGGCAATGAACCATCATCTCATTAGCAGATGTGGTGAGAGACAGAGCTGAGCTGGAAGCTGAGAGACAGAGCTGAGCTGGAAGCTGAGAGACAGAGCTGAGCTGGAAGCTGAGAGACAGAGCTGAGCTGGAAGCTGGACTCCATTGGCTTTGGAGCTAATTGGGGATTAAAGTGCAAGCTCTCTCCTCTCTGTATAAACCTTCACTACAGAAGTCAGCACTCACTGTTTAATAAAGAGGTGGAAGTTGCCAACTGAAGCCGCTTGGCTGCTGCCCTGGCCATATTGTCTATGCTCCCATGAGTGAGCACGGGACAGAAAACCACTTCCACCCACAAGTTCTCTTTGTTTGCTGTTCTTTTTACCCCTTTCTCAGTCTATAGCACCAAATATACCAGTGTGAAGATGGAAATCTCCCAAACCTAACCTGAAATACAAAGTGGGGATGAGTGCTCAGGAGATGTCTCAGTCAGCAAACTGCCTGCCATGCCAAACGAGGAGCTGGGTTTGGATCCGCAGCACCATGTAAAAAGTCAGGCAGAGCACCTAGCATTTGTAGCCTCAGGGCTGGGGAGCGGAGGGGCAGGGAGGGACAAGTAGAGTCCTGGAAGTCATTGGCCAGCCTAGCTGCATCGATGAGATCCAGGTTCAGGAAGATCCTGTTTCCACAACCAAGGCAGGAAGTGATGGAGGATGATTCTTAAAGTCAACCTGTGGCTCATGGGCACTCCCACCCCACTTTACACATGCACACACATACAACACACAAACATACACACATTAAACAACAACCAACAGGATCACTGACCGACACCTCGAGAACTAGACATAGAGTTAAGGGTAGAGTTGAAATTAGGAAAAAAAAAAGTGAAACCAACCAGTTTTGAAATGTAGTCCAGAACCATCTGTTCAATTTTCTTCTTTTCTACGCCCTGTAGGTGTCTCAATAGATGGTCTCTTAGCTCAGATACCATCTGAAACAGAACAGGTACTGGGTAAGTCACAACAGCCCCATTCACACCTGCGGCTGATTTTAATTAGGGCCATTATTAATATTTCATATCAACATGAAAAACTCTTGATCTGAGGGAAACCTTCTTCTCTCACCATCCCAAAGGAACATGACTCTTTAACTGCCCTCTGCTGAGGTAAATCGATGATTCCAACATTTCAGAAACAAATCAGAAGAACTTCTTACGATTTAACCAAAGCCGGGGGGCAACTGGGAGTCATTCAATCCGGTGAGAATCCTCCAAAGAAGCCGGTGGAAGGCACCAGCTTTGAGGTCACAGGCTTTGGGGTCTACACCTGTTTGAAACCTAGCCACCAATAGCTCTGGGAAAATAGCAGGACCAACACAGAGAGACTGTGCTCCACAGAGAGACTGTGCTCCACAGAGAGACTGTGCTCCACAGAGA